AACTGCTGATATTTGGTCAGGAAAAAGTCGAAGTTTTCTGGACGTCACTGCACACTGGATTGACTCAAACCTAGAAAGGAAATCTAAAACGCTCGCATGCCGAAGATTTTCAGGTACGCACAGCTATGACCGAATAGCTTTTTTACTTGAAGCAGTTCATTCTGAATTTGGTCTCGACTCACGCAAAGTTCTAGCCACGGTCACTGATAGTGGCAGTAATTTCGTCAAAGCATTTAAAGAGTTTGGTGTCGACTTGGATAATTTAGAAAATTTTACTGATGGCAACACAGAATCCGAAGAAGGTCCTATTATAGGAGAGGATTTTAACTCCGAGGGCAGTTCTATGTCACACTTCAACACCCTTAATGATGCTGATCCTTTAGCTTTTGTTGAAAATGTTGTTCCACAAACAATTATATTAGAATTGCCAGTACATTTAAGATGTTCTGCCCACAAGCTCAATCTATGTGCTACTACAGACGCCAATAAAGTCTTAAGAAATAATGAAACAACTATTGCCGATATTCATAACAAAGTAATCAATAAATGCAACAATTTCTGGAACTCGGCCGGCCGCCCTAAATCGGCTGAAATAATACAAGGTATTCTTGGGCATACGCTTTCCAGACCAGGAATCACTAGATGGAATAGCCTTTATGATGGCCTAAAATAAATTGCGGCCATACAAGATAAGAGTGTCCAGTTGTATGTGGCATTGGGAGTAACAAACGTTTTACGTACCAATGATTTTCAATACATAAATGAATACTTGTGTTGTTCAAAACCAATAGCAGAAGCCCTGGATATAATACAAGGCGAGCAAAATATGTATTAGGGCATTTTGCTGCCATGTTTAGTATCCCTGCGAAAAAAATTGCAAAAACTCAACAGCGAACCACTTGTTTTTTGCAAAAAGTTAGCAGAGACGTATTTGAAAAGTGTGGAAACGCGATTTTCTGAGTTTTTTAACGTCTCCTCGAAGGTTGCTCAAAATGCAGCAGTTGCTGCAATGTCTTATCCCAGGTTCAAGGACAAATGGATGGCTTGTATAAATATAGAATATCATTTCAGAATCAAATCTGTTTTTAAGGGAGCTGTTGTCAAGGAAATTAATGAAGCACCTGAAGCTTTTCAAGATACCCCAAATACTAGATATGAAGACAGCTATTTCGAGTTTGACACTGATTCATCAGAGACTGATTCAACAGGAGATATTCACCAACTCCAACGATCTATAGCAGATGTCATTATTTCTCATTATTTGGCGGATCAAGATAAAGATATATCCATGTTGAATAGATATCCTGAAATCAAAAATGTTTTCAAGAAATATAATACGCCTCTACCGTCTTCAGGTCCTGTTGAAAGGCTTTTCTCATATGCAACAATGACCAATTCACCAAAATCACATAGACTTTCAGATGAAATGTTTGAAAAGACGGTGCTATTAAAATCTAATTTAAATCACACATTATAAACAACATACTAAGGGTGTCAATCCAGTAATTTTTTTGCGTAAAATAATTATCCTAAAAGAACAATATATGAGACTGATTAAAAAATAAAAATAATTAATTGCTATGCAATACGTTTTTTATTTTTTAACGTTCCTACTATTGGTTTTAATTAATCATAAAAGTATTCAAAATTGCGATTACAGATTGAAAATCATTAATCATCGATATGATTACATTTTTGATTAATTTCTGTAATCTGTAATTGTGATTGAAGATTACACATTGTAATCGTAATCCTTAATCATTAATCTGATTACTGTTTGCCCAAGTCTGTAGATGCCCTTGGAGGCAACACGTGTTATTAAATTAAACGTTTATTTGATAAAACATGTTTTTATTCAAAAATCAATTGCCTTTAACAAGGCGCATATCCGACTTGTTAGGCGTAGCTCCATGTCGTATGGTATTCTGAATTCAAATTTAAAACAATACGATCGAAAAAGATGGTTAAATGTATCAGGTTTAAAACTGCATCAACAGTTTTTGTTCAATCTAGCAATCATATTTCGGTAGGGGCCATCGAAACCTAAACTCTAAGGTGGGTCAATAGATGTGTCCAGAAGTGTATAAAGATTTGCAAAACGCTTCTTAACATGAACCAAACATATACAAAACGTTTTAGATGTTTTTTTTTTATTTATGAACGAAGTATTTCTTTATTTTAAGAGTAGATATTTTGTTTTATTTAAAATATATTAGCGGGCTTGCAAAGATTGATTACATTTAAAGACAGTGTTGGGGAGATAGCTACAACGAAGAAGACCAATAGAAGCAATCCAGAGCTTTGCTTTTAACTTTTTAATTTGATTGAAATGCTGTCGTAAACTACAGATACGGAGCCTGTATAGTGTCATTTGTTTATTTATAGAGTTCCTATAAAACTGAGACTATTTACTGAGGACTCCATGTGCGCTGCTTCATCAAACATAGAGTTTTATCTCGTTGAGATAAGAAGTTGTGCACATCGTTTTTTAGAGTTCCGTACTAAAAGGGTAACAACATAACAGAACTCAAATACCAAGCCACTGTTGTAGGTTCTTATAGGTAAACAGTTTTATTTTTTGTGGTATATATATTTTTATTGCTGTCATAACAAAACAGTTACTAAAGAGAGTTGAGTAAAAAACGGCGTAAAATAAATAGTCACAGTTATATTAATTTAAAGCATGATATTCATTACCTCAACATATAATATTTTTACTACTTGTTTGTTGGAGTTTTAGTAACATAATTTAAACTAAGACATTTTGATTTAGAAACGTATGTTTTTGCTGATATATAATTAAGTAGGTTAAATATGAGAACTGAAAGTCTGTTCAGTGTAGCCTAACATGGGGATCTTCAAGTTTAGTGAAAAAGGACCAACAAAAATATTTAGTAAATCTGTGCTTATTTACCTAATTTTCGATTCGAGAATTACATACGAGAAAATATTGAACGATTAACGAAATTGATACGTATGCTGATACGGCAGATAAGACTAAGTGAAAGACGTTGGCTTGCAGTGCACTTTAAGTAGGTAATATGCATAACACTCCTCCACCTACAGATTCTAACATTATGATTAAAAAAAAATTAAGCTAAAATAACTGTTTGCAAGATACTCGATGATGTACCTCCCTCTGGAAGAACTTACTGAATTTACTTGGCTTGGCTCAGACGATTCTATAACGATAACACAAAATTAACCATTACTTTTCACAAATAGGTACATTTACGATATGATAAAAACTAAATTTACAAACCAAATAAAGCAAACGTAAAGTATATGTAAGTAGCTACCTAATGGATTTATAGTAATGAAAGGCTGATCGAAACCTCGGTTTGGGTTTCAGGCAGTTTCTGCAAAGGAATCTAGTTTCGACCAAGAAATCAACCTCGATTGGTCGTGTTAGTCGTGCGTGCGTAGTTCGGCGAACTACGCGCGTTCGCCCGCTGCGCCGCTGAATCAGAGGCCCATGCCATGAGTGCCCAGAGTCCATGAGTGGCCCAGGCACGAATTTTGATGGCTCCGTATCGTCATCGTCAAATTTTGTATGGATGAAGCCTGCCTGTTCTTACGCCCGGTACTTAGTTTTTATAGAAACTTTGACGATGCGATACTGCAATGAGAGTTGTCAATATTTCATGCTTGCGCCTTAGGTCGCCGCTGTCCACCGTTAATTGCATGGAGTTGAAATTGTGTCTTGCACATAAATGATTTGATTTTGCTTGTATTTCTGTTATTTATAATAATCAACAATTATTAGGCATTGAACTTCATTTTGTTGAGTTTTAGTATTGTAAAGGGACAAACAAAAGAGGATATATTCGATTCAGATTTACTTGACTCCTGAATTTGCGTGTTTATAGATAAATTATTATAAACATGTAAAACCAAGTAAAGTCTGAATGGATTGTATATCTTTATTTTATTTTACCACCCAAACGATTATGTAGATGCTATGATTTTACGATGTGTGACCACTATTTACTTAATGTTAACTATGAGAAAACTTAGTGGTACATCAATTGCGAATTACCTAGTTAGTCATTCGCCTCGTCTTTGCCCGTTTATCTCGCGTATTCGCGATTTAAGATAGGCGCCAGTTTAGTTAGGAACTCACTTAGTACGAGTATTTTTTTATTCGATATTCAATTCATACTTCATATTTATTGATCCCAAAAATATTATCCTTATTTAGACTGAATGCCGTGTGCACACGCCAGATTTCAGTATAAAGATTACATTTTAAAAATATTTAAGTAAGTTTCAGTTTCGGCCGAAACTGAGAGCAAGGCCGAATGTTCAGTTTCGGTTTCGGTCGGTGGCTAAATAGTTACGGATGAAATACAAATTCATATACGGCCCCGCAAAATATAATTCAGTTCGATACTAACGATGACGTGATTAATTATTGTTTATTTCTACAGACTAATGGCAGCATAAAAAACTCAATTTCAAAAATACCAAATAATTTATTATTTACTGCTAGTAAAGAAATGCTTTTAACTACAATAGTTAGCAAAATAAAAGTATTAAAACAACAGCATATTTACTTAAGAAGTATAAATGAATTCATGCTAAAAGGTATTGGATTGGGTATTGGCTTTTATCTCAAAAGCAAACAATGAATTCAAAATATTTGTTCGAAAATATTTCGCAAAATGAGAGATGTTACTCATGCGGTTTTAAATTCCGATAAACTCTGTTCTGATTTGATTTAATTGTTACACTATTGTAAAATCAATTTGAACTGAAAATGGTACTCCTTCAGAATGATTCATGATAACCGTTTGTGCTAAATTATTTGGTTAAAAAACGTTGTATTAGATAAGGTAATGCTTTTAATCTATTGTAACCCTTTTGTTTTGAATTGCCCCAGCATTTCTAACTAGAAAATTGTCATCAAAAACAAATTATTGATCACAAGTTTAAAAGCAAATATATAAGCTATTGGACACAGAAAAAAATTAAGCAGCAATAGAATAAGAAGAAGTAACCTGAAGTATTTGACTCGGGTGGCCGATGTCTCTGTCTGCCATTCCACCAGCAGCCACAACAAGGCATGTTGATAAAGAGTCTTCACAATAACATAATTACTTAACCAACATTCTAAGACGGATTATTTACAAAATTCAAATTATCTTGTCACTTCTTATCATGCTGAAAAGATGGATGTTAAAATTTTTCATTTCCACCCAAGTTGAATTAAAAAGTTTTGTTGACAAGCCGAAAGAGGTCAAATATTATTTTAGGCCAAAGCAGCGAGGTCGGGTTTCCGCAGGAGATTTAAATTTTGGAACGTGCTTTGAAATTTATACGCCGCCACATCACTTCGCGTTTCATAGGCGAGGCGTTCATCGTTGCTCGCGGCGCCGTGACGGCCACCCCCGAGCGCGTTCGCCGTCCGACTGCAGTATTAAGTAAATGATGCTCACGTGATGAGGGTTCCATCCATTTCAATGCTGTGAGAGAACTGCTGAAATTCTCATGATTTATTTGGGCTCTATATTGCGATATAATATCTATCGATCTCACCCGTATCTTTGCAAGCGAAGGTCACGCCTCACACTATTGTTTTAGGAAAATGCATAATAAAGCTTGATTATTATTTTTTGCTCTGTCTTTACTTGTAAATACGCCGCGGGCTCAACTTAATCACCGTACCTACCTCAAACTCTCCGAGCTTTTTTTTGGGTTAACTGGAAACAGTAACATTAATGGTTACAAAAAATATATCGCGGATCTAATGCAATAGAGGCGTATAAGCAAGAACAGAACTTTTGTTCTAGGTTATGAATTTAAAGTATTTCTATGAATCATACGTTGTTAAGAAAAACATAAAAGAGTGTTAGATTTAGTATTAAAGATTAAATAAACTGTACTTTTGGTACTTACGCCTCTATTGCACGATTAAGGAGATCCACCAAATCCCATACAAAATTGCCCCCATTTTTTTCGTCAGGGAAATGCGTGACGCATACCCCGCCACCTGGGACAGACAACAAGACAAGAGGGGCCAAAGAAATGTAACTCAGATTTTAGTGTAAAAATATTAAAAAAACCTCCTGAAGTTTCGCTATTGCAAATTCGGATGTTAACATAGTTTTTTTGCCTGTAGAAGTTTTATAAGCGCTAAATGTAAAAAAGTCACTTAAAAAAACTGGTCCTTCTATAATTTTATACTATTAACAACAAATGACCAACCACCAACTAACCTGAACTATTAGCTAAAATGATGTGTGTTGAACACATTGCATGTATAGGGTGTTCAAACAGTATTTTGACATGTTAAAATAATTAGGCTCAATGATTTACACAGCTAAACACTTATACTTGTTTCTTTGTAATTAACACTCATTTAGTATACTGTATGTTTTTGTAGAGATAATTCAAACTTTTATGATTACATGATTACCTTTACCTTAATTATTTTACCTTATACCTTTTCAGATTTTAGGACTGAAAAGCGTGTATTATCTTTTATATACTAACCTAGTAATTCTTGTATGTAGTCATCGTCCTCATCATCATCAGCATCATTAACAGCCTGAAAATGTCCACTGTACTTTTGTAGTGACTTTTTTACATCTAGCGCCTATAACACGTCTACGGAAAAAATGCTATTTTTAGCGACGGACTCGTATGAAGCCACAGATAGTTGTGTTATATTTTATTAAAGAATTTTTGGGAACTTTTAGTATAGAAACCGTCATTTTGTTACACAATTGCTATGCGACTGCCTTCGATTATCCGCCAACTAGGTAAGTCCTACCTTAAGTAATTCTCGTGTGATTATTGTTAAACCTAATAAAAGTGTAAAATCTTCCTCTGGTGCATATTATTTAACAAGCGCGTGCTCCCACAGTATACAGCTATGTTAGCATCCGAATTTAGCAAAAGCGAAACTTTAGGCCATTTAAAATATTTTTAGGTATTTTAAAATCTAGCGCTAGAACTGGGGCTATTTTGGCGGAACTCCTTTATTAGAGTTTCTAAGTTTTTTTATATTATTTAAAAAACTATTTTGAAGTTATACTTCTTTAGGCGCGTTATGAAAAAATGATGAGAGTGAAATTTTAAGATGCGCGCGCATCACTGTAACACAAAAAATTAACAGCATGAAGTTGGTCGCTAAAGCGACCAACTTCATGCTGTTACTTTTGTGTTTACCGCACATTAAGAAAATCTACCAACAAAATAGAAATAGAATCCCTATTTAGTGGGTGCTAACGACTGCATTGTGAAGGCCTATCAAAAGTATTTATTAATCTGGAACAACGGAACCACAGCGCGATTCAGGAGACTACAGCGCCATCTCTTGACCATTGGTGTAGTAGAACCAAAAACCACATCTTTATTTTTGTAATAAAGTAACAGTTATAGGTATTCATATTTATAATATTTATCCACATGTTTCTAGTTTGTATATTCGGAATACGTGTTTGAGTTTCATACAAGTGCAAATCACATATGTTCTAATAAATTATATTCAGTAGCGATTTTAATTGAATATTTTGATCATTTATTTATTTTTTCAAATTAAAACTGAACTTTATTGACTGTGTCCTTTTCCAGACTTTTTATTAATTTATTGTAATTAATTATTTGCATGCAATTAAAAACTAATTTTAAACGATGCCAAAGAAGGATAACTTCTCACGCGCCTACATAAGTACACGCACCCATTTTTTTTTATAATAAGACATTTTTCAGTATTTTCAATGGAACAGTAAAATCCAATTAAATTTAATAACTTCTAATTATAGTATACTTATATTTTTATAAAAATATGAGAATTTGTGTGTTTGTGCGTGTGTTGTGAAGACACAAAGACGAACAGAATAGTGAAATTAAAAAAAAACGGGTTGCACTCCGGGAGTGCCGGCAGAAGTGAAAACTTGAATATTAACGTTGTGAATTTTTTATTTTGGAATGGTTAGGGAATAATTTTGCACGAATTGCTTTAATTATCAGTATAAAAGTACTATCATTTATGTGGTACAATACAATATTTATTTATTTTGCTATCGTACACAAACATGTCAATTAATATTACATTAAAAATTTAATCTCTCAGAAAATTCAACTTACATGAATCACATTTAAACGCTAGGTGCGACATCTATTGTAAAATACATGAATCATATTTAAGCGCACCTAGCGACATCTATTGTAAAAAATAATGCATTTTCTTCGCAATAAAGCTGCCACCTGGACGTCCTAGTTAGAGACTTATTATTATAATAAGATAAAATAAAATATTACTATGTTTCGTCCAATATATTTAAAGTCAACAACCTTTCCAATTTTATTGTTTTCGTCTTACGAATTTTCGATCAGGCCACGTGTCCTGACGCGAGTTAACATTTTTTATCCATTACAAAAAAGTGTACAACGCCGCTAAAGAAGTTTTCACTTCAAAAACTTATTTGCGTATACAACCCTATTACACGAGACCCGCGAACGAGAAGGGGGTTTTCTCAAAACCCTTAGGATTTTCGCGAAAATTCGATTTATCAAAACATCCTACGATATATATAAGGATTTAATGATAATTCCTTATGCAGGAAAAAAGAGTGAAAGTACTGTAGCTGCATAGTCTAAAGTATTAAGATGTTTAATGACAGATTGTTTGCAGTTAAAGTTAGAGAGTGATGAAATCTCTATGACATAATTGCTTAAGAAGCAGTAGAAGTTATGAGAGAGAGAAAGAGGTTCTTAATGATAATGAAGTACAGACCGTGCCCTTCCGACGCATATCTAAAATCTTTTTAGGGTTATACGGTATCTAATATTAGCTGTCCTTGAACCTAAAATTATTCTCGTATATAATTAAAATTGTTGTACGCGAGTAATATAAATATTTTGTAAATATGTTTGTTTTATGCTGTTATTTATGTATCCGTACCTTTTACTTTACGATACTTTACAATTCATCGCCACGTCTCACATTTTTGCCAGATTTTCTACACCATTGTAGCAAAAAGCTAAAGATGTCAAATTACATTTGATATTTACAATCGAAAAGTATGTATTTTTCATTTTGTCGAATGTAATGCAATATTGTTGGATGATACGGACTCAGACTATTCAGTATTTTACCTTCATTTCAAACTAAGTAACAATAATTTTGAATTTTACTATTCGATTGAAAATACCTTTAACTTCGATAACTGTGACGAATAAATCCAATCATGAATTTCGATGAAAATCCAATGAGTATGTAAAGCATAGACTATGTGCAACAGAGGGGAGAGAGGTGGGATGGAGGAGTGAATCGAATGTGAATTCATGCATTCTACAATATCGCCATACCCTAGATATAAACCTAGAACAAAATTTCATTATAACGTATGTAGTTCAATTAATTATCATACTTTTTAAATAAGTTACGTTTCAAAGGAAATATTACTACTACATTAAGTAAACTTTAAACTAAGATCGACTTTTGAGAAACATTATATTATCTACGCATAAAACATTTAAATTAAAGAATAAAGTGACTCTACCGCATCTACTATTAAAATTTTCATTATAGCACGTTTTCATTAGAGCCACAACGTGGATGTTTTACTGTGATCACAACGCGTTGTGAGCTATTTTTCCGCTCACTGAGCGTTTTCGATCTTTGAGCGTAACATATGTACAACAAAATATATTCCCTTTACAAACTGTAAGTTATAGTAGTGTCGAAAATTTAAAAGTATACCGCTTAGACATCGGAGTCAATTTTCCTAAATAAAGCTATCAGTTATTGTCAGTAATGTAGTCAGTAAGTAAGTTAATAAGGCAGCTATAGCACCAGTTATTACATGTGAAACGGATTACGTATGAAGGTTTAGAATTAACGGCGAAATGTGAACCGAAACGGTTTGGAGACATTATTAGTTAGGCAACGACACTTTGGGTAATTCGCGTGACTTCGAGTAACGTCCCTGAACACGCGTATTAAGATTATTTCGCATATCCCAGTGAAAACATGCCTTTAATGAGTTTTTCATTCGATTTATTTTTAATTACTACCGAGTTAACTCATATCGCTATTCGGCTAATTAGCTTGTGGTTTGTGTCAAAGCCAATGTGTAATACACTAGGAGAAATTCTAATTATCTACTGATTACGATTCATGATATATGAAATAGTCCGCTGATCGGTAGACGCGCAACTAAGGCTTTGAACGATGTTTGGTTATAAGTAATCCAAAAGTCTAGAAAAGATAAAGAAAAACAAGGAATTGCTTGTTTGTCAAAACTACTGAGAGCGTTTCCGAAGTTAAACTATAAAATTTACTTTGATCTTTACCTAAACATAGTTAATTTCTCTGTTTTGTCTTATTAGAGTGGGTAATTTTTTAACTAATAGGTAACTAATATAAGATATAATCCATCTGTAATCTTCAAAGGCAAAAAAGTTTATGGGAAAATGTTTTTACTATAAACGCAATACTTAGATTTTTCTCCTTCGAAACAGCGAACGAA